CGTCCTCAACTCCTAGGCGGGGCTGGTAGGCGAGCTGTAGTGGATCAGTGAAGGGCCTGACCATAGGCATTAGCCGCTCCAGGACAAGCCTCTCCAGGGTCTTCATGATGTGGAATGTCAGAGCCACCGGCCTGTTGTCCTGAGGGCCGCTGGGAGGCGGCGTCTTTGGCACAGGAACGAGGCAGGACGTCTTCCACAGCACAGGGACCCTCTGGAGGTGCAGGCTCAGGCTGAAGACATGACTGAGTACTCCACACAGCTGGGGGGCACAGGCTTTAAGCACCCTGGGAAATACACCGTCAGGGCCTGCAGCTTTGCCGGAGTGGAGTCTCGTCAGCTGTCTTCTCAACAGGTCAGGCGTGAAGGACACTGTAGAGGTGACAGTTAAGGGAGGGGTGAGGTCCTCAGGTTGTGGAGGACATGATGCAGACCGGGGTGGAGGGGTGGAGTAGGTGGGTGTGAATTGAGGTGGTGAGGGGAAGACAAGGGGTCTGTAAGGAGGGGGAGTAGGGGGAGGTGGAGTGGCAGTTGTTGTTGGGCAGCCAGCAGCAGAGTCTTGTGGGGGAGGGGCCGCAGTATCAAACTTATTGAAAAATAGGTTCAGTTTATTGGCCCGGTCCACACGACCCCCCAACCCCATGCTACCAGTCTTCTGGAACCCAGTGATGGTTCTCATGCCACTCCACACATCCCTCATGTTGTTTCACTGGAGTTTATTCTCCAGCTTTCTCCTATAATTGTCTTTAGCCTCCCTGATTTTGAGTTTGAGTACCCCCTGCACTCTCCTCACCTCATCATGGTTGCCATCTCTGAACGCCCTCTTCTTTTCATTCAGGATGGCCTTGATGTCCTTAGTGATCCAAGGTTTATTGTTAGTGTAACAGGTGACAATCCGAGCAGGGACATTGTCCACACAGAAGTTGATATAGTCCGTGATGCACTCTGTGAGCCCATCAATGTCCTCCCCGTGGGGCTCACAGAGTGCAGGCCAGTCAGTCACTTCAAAGCAGGCCTGCAGTGCCTCATAAGCCTTCCCCGACCACCTCCTCACAGTCCTTGTGGTCGTAAGCTTCCTCTTCACCAGAGGCACAAACCCTGCTAGGGTTTGAGGTGAACCAGGTTGTGATCTGACCTGCCCAGAGGGGGGAGAGAAGAAGAGATGTATGCATCCTTAATGTTAGCATACATCAGGTCCAGGGTCCTCTCCTCTCTGGTAGGACAGCTCACGTACTGTTTGAAAGTTGGCAGAACTCTATCCAAGGTGACGTGATTATGGTCTCCCGACATGATGATGAGGGCACCGGGGTGTTGAGTTTGACGTTTGGAGATGGTGGCGTGTATGATGCTGCAGGCAGATGTTGGGTTTGCAGAGGGAGGGATGTACAGGACAACGATGATGACATGCGGGATCTCTCTAGGCAGATGGTATGGATGGAGTCCAACCAGTTCAACATCTGGGCTACAGAGCTGCTCTTTAATGGTGATATGACCGGGATTACACCATTTGCTGTTAACTAGAACGGCAAGCCCTCCGCCTTTCCGCTTACCGCTCTCGGTACAATCTTGGTCCACCTGGACGGTGTGGAAGCCATCGACAGAGACGTTCAGGTCCGTAATGTCCCTGTGCAGCCATGTCTCAGTGAAACACATCAGACTGCACTCCCAGTACTACGTGTGGCTCTGCGTTAGTGCCGTTAGCTCGTCCATTTTGTTGCTAAGAGACCGCACATTTCCCGTAACAACAGAGGGGAGACACGGCTTACATCTTCTCCTCTCCATAAGACCGTCCCGTCTCGACCCTCCTCTCATCCCCCCACGTTGCTTCCCTCCTCTGCATCCCCGGTGTTTTTCTCCAGAGTTCAGGTGGTATATCAGCTGGTCTGGCCACTATGCTGGCTGGCATTAGCGCGATCAGCTGTTCTCCGGAGTAAACAAAGGCAGCGTGTCCCGGTGGAAGCAGCATTGATAAAACAACATGAAAAAAAGCACGAAAACTCTCTAAAACAACCTCGTTAGAGAGGGCAGGACTTCACAGAGTTACAGTGAAGAAACAAGAACGAACAAAAAGAGAATAAAAGTTAAGAAAGTTAAAAAAGCGAACTCAAAGGCTGGAGCACGTTTCAGCTGCAGCTTTCGGGCATGCGCACTACGATATGATTATGATGAAATGATTATGGTTCTTTTCTTTTTCTCCACAGAGGGTTGGTCACTGTGGAAAAGAACACAGCTGCATGCCAATAACAAAAATAAAATATATAACAGTGATATTATATAAAGGGATATTTTACACCAGCTGATCAGTGGAACCCACTGTTATAGTGTGGAGAGGGGCCATGGGACTACTAAGTTGCTAGCGGTCACATACACCAGTAGAGTTCTGTCATCTCATCTCATAAAATGAAATTCTAATGTAATTTCTGCACATGGCGACCTTTAGCTCATTCTTCCAGAAGGACATTCACACAGAGGACAGTGGTTGGGTATAAATGAACTGACTGTAATCTCCCTCTTTCAACTTAAAAAGGATTACTGTATGCAGGGTGCTGTAATGGACCTGAATTTGTCTGTGATAAAAACCACAATACTGATATCAATAAATGTGGGCAGCTGCTGCTTAAATGACAGGAGTGGGTTTGTGATTGAACAGCAATCAATTTGCATTCATGCATCAGCTTGGACACTCTGCGGGGGAAGTGAATCACAATCACTCAATTTACCAAGAATAAGATTTAGAGTTCACAGTGCATTTAAGTGGTACCGGTGCAAAAATATGTTAAGAACTTTCCTCCTAACCAATTTTAAGACAAAATCTTTCTTTTCATTGTGTGACAAAGTGGACTCATCTCTGTCATTTGTCACTTAGTTATGTTGGTATTTACTTAACAAACGAAACAACAGGTAACCTAACATGTTGTTTCGTTTGTACACCTCTTGTTTATTCATTATTCATCATATAGCCTACATTACATTAACCATAAATTCATTTCAGCTGGTAACGCATGTGCACACTATCCCGGGTCGGTTTTGTGTTCAGCGTTATTTCTTTATAATCTTCAACATCCATCAATCAAGGTTACAACAATAATGACAGGCAAAGGTTGTTTTTTTCAGTATTTTTTATTGCTCATTTCGTTCTATTTAGCACATATAAAGTGTAATTATTTCAGTACGTATCTTACCTGGCACCGAAAGCAATGCGCCGGTTAAATGAATAAGATTAAGTCCCCAATTGCGTCAGGGACGTACCAAGTTAACAGGGGAATAAGTTGAATATTTAATTCTGTTTAGTTCTCAGTTTATGAATGGTGGGGAATAATGAGTTGGTGATACATTCAAACGCCATAGGAAATTTGATTGGTATATGGGTAATGATGTTTATTGAAACTTGTGTCTTGATAAAAGATATCTGTAAATAATACCACCTGAAGTGAGGATGGTTTAATCCATGTCTGGTCTTCAGACAGGTAAGAAATGTATAAGGATCAGTTCTCTTGGGGAAGCGAGAGGAAGGGGGAGAGATAAATTGCGCCTTAGACAAGTGCTGTTAATTTGAATCTAGTATGAGTTGATTTTTCCTCAGTTTTTTGTAAATATGTTTAGTTGTTGTTTTTTTTGTTGCTTTTCACATTTTGGGAAGCACTTGAATAAATGCCCACACAAAGGGATTTATACCACAACGTCCTGAGTCTGCCTCCTACTTATGACCTACTCTGGCAACACCTATCTTACACATTGATTAAGTTGCTAGTAATTTCAGTGTTTGGGTAATTAGGCTACTGTCTAATTGAGAGCCAATTTGCTGCCTGTAGTTTGCAGGGTTATAAGATTAGGGATTAGGTTTCATCAATTTAATTAGCTCTACCCACCATTGGTTTTATTACACTCCAAGTTAGTGAGTGTGAAACAGCAAATGTTGGTTGGCATGAATATTACTCATTTGTTATACCAACAGCCTGTAATTTTAAAGGAATTTACAAATTCAGTAAGAACTAGAAATGTAGCTTTTAGTGTATAAAAGTTTGTTTTTGATTCATTTATGAAGAATAAAATAGATAGAATAAACCTTTTGGTTGCCAGATTATAAATAATCCCATTGTCTGATATTTAACCTTCTCTAGTATGACACTTGGCTTTTCTCTTGAGTTAGTGTTTTAACTCTTTATGGAGGACCATGCCAACCAGGGGCAGATCCAGAGAAATATTCATTGAGTGTCCAGAGGTTGCATGTCCCAGCAGTTACCAGATGAGGCATGGGCCAAAAATCAAAGTATATGTCAAATAAAATTGTCCAGAGATGTTTTTTGTCGTTTTAGGTTGTTCTTATCACGCTGATGTTTGTGTTCATTTTTCTGATCAGTGTGGTTTTAATGAGTTATTTGATTTGATTGGGTTAACAGAGCATTGGTTGTCTTGAACAAAAAGGTTTTTAAAATTGTCATATTTTACAGTCATAATCAAACATGTAATGTTATCCTTTACTGCCCAACACTGTTTATTAACAACTTATAAATGTACCTACTGTTTATTAACATTCACAATTGCAGATTTGGTTGGTACTGTGGCTTCCTGATGTGTAGAACTATAGGGATGTGTAGTATACATTTTGTAGAGCAAGGCTGAAAGGCTGCTTTAAAGTTCTGTAAGTAAATCCCAGTGCTCAGAGGTGGAAATATACGCATGAGTTCACCTGTGAATGTAAATGTTACTGATAAATACTAATTTATTATAAGCCATCAAGACTGCAGTTATATTAAAGTCATTATTGGGGTAATCTAACGTCATGATAAGTTTTCTGACTCTCAAATTTGCAATCGCACATAATTTCCTGTTTGTTCAGTGGTACATGTGGTGTATATTTCCTCTATGTTACTTGCTACTTTTTAATCCCAGTATGAGTCTATGGTACTGTATGGAGTTCCCAACTGTCCAACTAGTGATCAGCATTTAAGAGTAGCAGGGACCCCCGTGGAGCTTAACACTTGGCTCTCTGCACGGCAGCATGTCCACAGGCACTGTCTGTTACTCCCGCACCCAGGAGAGAGAGCTCCCAGTCAGGCTTTGAGCTCGGCAGGAGAGCCCCCAGACAGTCTGGATGAAAGGGGGAGCCTCACCGGCAAGATCAATCCTCTCTGAGAGGAAGAGAGAAAAAGAGGGGTCGAAATAAAGAAAGGAGTCGGAGAATAGGAAGAGGAGAGCAAGTGAAAAAAAGAGAGGAGAACAACTCCAGCCGACTGAGCACAGAGAAACAGGCTTTGGGCTAATGAAGACTGTGCCACTCGTAGAAAAAGCACACAGCAAAACAAAGCCCACTAGATCCTCGCTATCAATATTTGAGACACCCATTGAAGAAAAACCGCATTCTTCTCCAAAACAAGGTTTGTCCTTAGGAAGGTACTGGATTATGTGTGTGTGTGTGTGTGTGTGTGTGTGTGTGTGTGTGTGTGTAGGTTGTAAACAGTAAAATGAATTAATGGTGTCTGTAGCTCTCGCTCTTTTTTATCGATGTGTTTATCTGCTTCAGGTCGGAGCTGAGCGCCACCCTGGTGAGTCGAGGTTGTGCCGAGTTCGGCTCTGACGTTTGTAGGTGTTCAATCCAGAAACTTAAGGATCAGTGCAGCCCACGTCTGTGAGGATGGATCAGGTCTGTTGTTTTATTTGACTTCACAGAAATCTCATATTAAAAGAATACATCTGCAGCTATTCTATAATATACTATAATATTCTAAAATAGTGAAGTTACTGGGGGCTATTTTTAGTGGCGGATTAATCTACATTTGGGGATCTAGTGAGTATTTAGGACAGCAGGACAGAGTATAGATAAACTGTCTCTGTTCATGGTTATGAAGGAACATGTAACTGTTGCACTGCAGTGTGGCTCACTGATGTGTTTTTAACAGTTTTTGGACAACAATGAAACATTTTTTTGTTAATGAAATGAACACTTTGGTTTGACTCTGTATATGGGATATGTTGACTATAAAAATACAAGATATCACCAGACCCATGCTTTAAGAGGTATACAGGATGTGGCAGCCTTGATTTAAAAAAAAAAGGAAAACAAATCCCCAACTGAAATGTGTTAATATGAAAAGGAACGCTGACTCAAGAACAGCGGTATGGTTCTTTACAAATTAGAATAAAATTCCTTTCCAAATGTCCTGTTTTCATAAATCTGCACATAAATATCCTGAGTGGAGAAGCCAGAGATTGAAAGAAAAAGTGCAGATATATCACAAAATGATTTTGCAAAAAAGTTGACATAAGGAACAAATGTGGATGCAATAAAAGGTGATAAAAAGGTTTACATAGGCCTATACACTAGATGTTGCAGTACCTGCTGCTGCAGCTTCTGTTGTAGTCAAGGCTGTACCTCCAGCCACATCCTAAACTAGATACTAAAACTTTGGTAAAAGTAGGTTTATATCATTTGAAAAAACAGATTTTGACAGTACAGTCCCGTTGCTACATTACTCATCCTTAAAAGCTACTAGGCGCCTCCTGTCTGACCCCTGCAGCCCTCCTGGCTCTGTGAGGATTGGATCTGTGAGAAGTCCCGGCTCATGATCAGCAGAGCGAGATGTGGAGAAGGTGAACAAGTGCTGGGCCGGCATGATGGCAGGCACCGCTGCTCCTGCCCTGAGACACGAGCAGCACACTGTCTGTCTGAGCTCAGCAGCTGGACTGCTGTCAGTCTGCGTGCAGGTGTCTGTCACTCTCTCTGGCTGAAGCCTGAGATGCTTACTGCCTCTTTCTCTCCTTTTTTCATTGTTCCTTTTGCACACGTATACCTCACCTTAAGAGCCGATACTGAAGCCAGGTGCTTTTAAAATCTTTTTGCGACTTGGCAACTTTCTTATTTTCTATCTTTGTACTTCCATCTGGTCCTCCTCTCCCTATATATACACACATTGACTTTAGTTTCTAATCTGAATTTATTTTCTTTTTTTTTTAATGCAGCATGGTCAAACAAGTTATCATAGCACACATATTCATCATTGTTATGTCATTAGGTCTCTTATTTTGTATTATAGTTCAGGGCAACCTGCGGCTCTGGAGCCCCTCTCCAGTGGCTCACTATGGCTTTGACAAAAAATAAGGTGGAAATGGAAAACAGTTATCTTTTAACTTTTTTTATTTATCACTGTTGTAATGATTGTTACATTCTCCAATTGTAATTGTGCCATCAGGCCCCCAAGCTGTGGAACAGCCTTTCAGAGAAGATTAGGATAGCTAATTCTATCACTTCATTTAAGTCTTCTTAAAATGCACTCTTCTTTTAATTATATTTATTTTTATGTATTGCTCAGTTTTACAGTGTTATTGCTTATTCTATATATTGTTACTGATAGTGCTATAGTCTTAGGGCAATGTTTGATGTTTGTTATGTTTGTGAAGTAATCCAAAAACTACAATCAGATTTTTTTTGTAATCCAATGGATTATGTTACTCATTTAAAAAAAAAAAGCCATCTAATTTGTATTCAGAAACTGACTACATTGCAAAGTAATCTCAAAGTAATTCTATTTAGTTTATTATCTATTATCTATTTATTTTCATACTCTTGGTTATTATTTGATTAATTTAGTTGGTGTAATGTTCAATTGTAAATGGACTGTACTTATATAGCAACTTTCTAGGCTTGCAACCACTCAAAGTGCCATACACTACATATCACATTCACACACCGATGGCACAGCATCAGGAGCAATTTGGGGTTCAGGATCTTGTTTAAGGACACTGCACTGCAGCAGGAGAAGCCAGGGATCAAACCACCAACCTTCTGATTGGTGGAAAACCCGCTCTACCTTAAATTTCCCGGTTGTGGGATCAATAAAGGATTATTTGATTTTATGGTATGTTCTGGAAGCAGTCAGCTGACGTGTACTGTACAGGATTTGCTGTTAGAGGGCTGAACAGGAAATAATCACTGGCATGGCTCTTTAATTTTGGGTGTAAAAGGAACTGCTGTGGATGTGGGCTTCTTTTATTCACCACTAAAATCACTGAGGACCTCTGCCTCTCTGCCTTCACCACTTCCTTCACCGCTGTCATCAGCACAGCAACACAGGTGAACCAGTCCACTGCCTAATTAGAGGGTCAGAGAGGAAAGAAGGAGCAGCAATTTAACACAGACCTGATTTCCTTACGGTCCTTCATCCCACTGTGCTCAGGCAGGGACAACCCAGAGAGAACCATTCAGCAGTTTATGCGCCTACGCAACAGGCAGCCAACTTCTATTCAAACACACAGAGAACAACGTGCAGGAGCTGTTATACATAGAGGGGGAGCTGGGAGAGAGGAAAACTAAAGGGCATTTAAAGGTTAAAAGCAATCTGGGTTGGGATTAGGTGAGCAGTGTCAATACATTTAGGAGTAGCTGGCTCCCATCCTGCAATCTGCTAAACAGCTTATTATCCTGGCTGAGTAACTTTCACACCCTGGTAGCTACACTGCAAAAAAGGAATCTCAAGAAATTAAAAAAGCCTTGTTTCTGGTAAATGAGTCTTCTTTTGTGTCTAAAAAGAAAAGTAATTGTCAGCATGTGTTGCACTAGAAAGTAATCTTGTTTTAAGAAAATATATCTAACTGACTTAAAAAGATATGACAACTAATACTGAGCTAGATAAAACCAGTAAAAACAATGGTTTGCATAATATCCCAGAAGGGGAGGAGGTCACGGGGCAGACCGAGGACCAGGTGGAAAGATTATATTTCAACACTGGCCTGGGAATGCCTCAGGATCCCCCAGTCAGAGTTGGCCGGGAAAAGGGAAGTTTGGGGTCCTCTGCTGGACTTGCTACCCCTACGCCCCGATCCCGGATAAGCGGATGAAGATGAGATGTATTATTTAATAATTCAGTGGCTAGATTTTTATACTGTGAAAACAAATGCTTTGGCTCAACAAAAAAATTAACATAACACACAACAGTTTGCATCAATCCGTTTGAGTAATGACAACTTGAAATGAAACTAAGTTTGGGGAATTAGCTTTTTCTCCACAATCAAAGATATTTTAAAGTACCACTTAATAATTGGTAGCATACATTTTTTTTTTGTTTTGTTTATTAAGGGACACTGTAAAACCAGATAGGTTAATTTAACTTCACTGAAAATTAGAATCAGAATCAGAATCGGGTTTATTGCCAAGTACGTTTTCACACATACAAGTAATTTGTCTTGGTGCATTGGTGCATAAAAATCACACAAATATAAAGTAAAAATTTAAATAAATAAAGATAAGGATAAAGATAGAAAGATCCAAAACTGTACAGGAAAGATATGTGCAGGACATAAAAACCAATGGGAGTGCATTAATGTAATGCATATATACAGGGTGGGTATTAAGAGTAATAATAAAGATTACTTAAAATGTTCAATGTAATCCATTTTAAACAAGAAATTTTGTTCAAATACTTAATTATTACCTTACAGTGTAATTACAATACACAACTAGTTTTTCTACATTATTTATTTATCAACACAACTCATCAAAATAATGTTTGAGTTAAGAGGTTTTGGCTTACCCCATTTTTTAAATTTTTTTTATTGTTCAATACAAGAAAATTTGATTATGTTTAAGAATATTTGGCTAGTTTCTAGAAGGGCTGTTTTTGCAGTGGGTGACACTCTTTATAACCCTAAAGAGTGGTGCAGGCCACTTTTACACAAGTTCCCACAGCAGCTGAATCCTGCCTCCGGAAACCTTTCCACAGTTGAGATGAAAAATATTTCTGATCAGATTTACAATAAAATATGTTGGAGACAGCAGACAGAGGAGTTACTGTCCTCACTGCTGCTGCCTGCTCTTTCCTACACTGTCCCCGGCTGCTCTACGCCAGCACTATAAAATATTATTGCTGATCATAATTCTGATGTACAGCAGGAGTCAATGAGGACTTTTTGTTGGTAACTTAGAATGCAAAACAGAAACAGCAAAATGTGATTGAATCAGAGTTAATAATATACTGAGTTTGAGTCTAAGGGTTTGTTGAAAAAGAAAATATTTTTAGCTCTTGCAGCAACTGCTGAGAAAAAACAACAACTGCTGCAAAGTCACTAGGGGCCACCAAAGCTTCATGGGGGGTTGTAAGGGCCTTCTTGATTTTTAGGCGTACTAGAAAACATATGCATATAATATGTGGGAATCTAGGGGATCGATGGATAGGCTAAGTTACATGATATGGTCACATGATTAACAGGTAGTCAAGAAGTAATAAAAGGTTTTCCGGTAGTTTTTCTCAGTAGAGAGCCCTTTGACTCCTGCACCTTGCTTTGGTGGACTCTCATGTAGGTATGCAGACTTCATTTTGTCGTTACTTATTCTGTCAGCGTTTGTAATGACTGCAGCTTAAGGTTGATTTTATGATTATGGTCCCACTAGAGCGATAGCCAGACTACGGTTTTGATTAGTGCTATCCCTTTGTTTGTGTTTCCTTTATGCGACCATGTGTTATTTGTTTCAGTTTATAACTGATGCGACCACCAAAAAGCTGCTGTGGCTATAGAGACCAGAGACATGGGTAAATAATGTGCCTATCTGTGTGTTTTAATGTTTTTAGTCTTTCGATATTTATAATGTTTGTTTTATATGTGTAGCTCTGGAATCTCTCCTTCCTCTTCCTGCATTACTGTCTTTACTGACATTTTACATATGTACAATATACTATAATATTTGGACTGGTAACTAATGTGTTTTATTTGTTTTCTCAAAGGGACCGGTTTTTCCTATTTTTTTTTTTCCAGCTGTCTGGTGGTTGTTTCCTATGCCTCACCATACTGGGAATTGAGGTTTATATGTAGTAGCATAGGCCAGGTGTTAAGACATACTGCGTATCGTATTTTTGGTTGCTAATTGTAATCAATGCAGGGTGCTCTCCTCTCTTCTGTGCATCCACAGCTTGACTCTGTACAAGGCTGGGCCAGAGTCAACACACTGCTTCATTACCGTCGTGGGACTACATTGGCTGACACTCCAACTCCGACACTGCATGATACTTTATAGTGTATATTATAGGTGTGTGTTGTGTGTGTGTGTGTGTGTGTGTGTGTGTGTGTGTGTGTGTAGTGCATGCTTCCATTTTTTTGTGTTGGGCCTGCTGTCACTCTTTTTGTCTCCCACAGGATTGCTGGGGTGGTGTGTATGAGCAGACTGACCCTACTACTGTGAGAGAGTAAACTCCTTTTTACCATCTAACTATTTATCTGTCTTCTAATTCACCTTATTGACTCTTGATATTTTCAATTTTATATGAATTGTTATCTTGTAATAAAATATAACTTATTTTTGCATACTATCTGCCACCTACCAATTGCTCCTGTTCGGGGAAGTCATAGACTGACATCATCATTGGCTACATGATATACTTATGAAGATATTGAAGGTTTAAGGGTTCCTCCTATCCCTCATCAGGTTGTCAGGTTACAGAGAGTATTCCCTATATTGAGTACCACATATATTTCTCTAAATCACTCATTTTTTAAAGTTACGTAAAGTAACTTACAACCTTTTCCTAATCATAACCAAGTAGTTTTTGTGCGTAAACCTAACCAAACTGAAACTGTTTCACCACGTTAACCACGCAAGCTTTACTTGAAAGTGTAACCAGATGCTGCATTTTTATTATTGCTAATCTGACTGCAGATAACTGCAGATGACTGTGATTTACAATACTGTGGGCAGAAGCACTGAGTGAGAGTCAAGCAGCAGCTCTCAGAGATGTCAACTAGATTTAGTTGACAATAATTATGTTATTTAACCACAGATCCTCTCCAGACATGTATTTAAACAATATACAAATAGTCTGTCGAACAAGAATGTGTGTCTGATATGTTTTTTCTGAAATAATGTCCACATTCAAATCCTTAAAAAGACATCATCTTCTACCTCATGGAAATTCCAGAATCACTGAATATACAAATATTGTTCTAAAGTTTTGCTGCTGGACACAAGATGTCTCCTACTTCTCAGTGGATGTGCACTGGTGGATCACACTAAAGGTCTAGTGTGTAGGATTTAGTGGCATCTAGTGGTCTAGTTGCCGATTGCAAGGCCATTGCTTCCCCCTCCCCTGCCAAGCGTGAAGGAGAAACTACGGTGGTTGTGAAGCATGCAAAAAACACCAAGGCCACTATTTAGAGCCGGAGTTTGGTTTGTCTGTTCTGGGCTACTGACAGTTCAACATGGCGGGCTCCATGAAAGTTGACTCGGGGCGTCTGTAGATTAAAAACAGCTAATTTTAAGGTAACAAAAACACAATAATTCTTATTTCACTGTTCATTCCACAATGAAGTCCTTATTTCCGTGGTCCAGTTCAAACTGTGTAGGTCAATACGTCAGAAACCAACTATTTGCAACAGTTATCACTTGATAATAGTGTTACAGACTTGTTTGCACATGTACTGAACACCTCAACATTTGTATATCAACCATGGTTTGTATCAATCTGGTTGGTTCTAGAAGCGGCACAGAGTGGCAGCTTGACGCAACAGCTCCCACTCCGCCTCTTATTTTTTTGCCTTAAATCTTACTACTTCTTTATTCCTTCTTAAACAGCACTGTGTTTATTGTTGTAAACAGACCTCCAGTGTTGGTAGTTAATTTTTTACTTTTTTAGCCGTAGTTGAAGTTTGGACACAAGTGGACACAACAACCACCACACAACAAAACACCGGAGGTTATTCACGTGAGGACTTCCTACGGTATCAGGATTTACGTGTCGCATGCCTGAGGGAGATCCCGGTGGAGTTAAGGAGACGAAGGAGAGAAACCAGAGCAGACACGTTGGTGAGGACCAAGAAGACGGTGGCGGTGGAGATACAAGCCATGTCTTCCCTCGGTTGTCATGGGAAACGTACACTCGCTAAACAACAAGACGGACGAGCTCTCGGCCCTGGTCAACGGACAGCGAGAGTATCTGCAGTGCAGCATATTATGTCTGACGGAGACATGGCTGAATGACATTACACCAGACTGTTCAGTGGAACTAGCCGGCTTTTCACTAGTTCGGGCAGACAGGAGGAAACGGTAAAAAGTCTGGAGGAGGGCTCGCTGTCTTTGTGAACTCTAAATGGTGTAACCCTGGACATGTTGTCAAGAAGGCAGAAATCTGCACACCTGATATTGAACTGCTGGCCATAAGGCCATACTATCTGCCCCGTGAGTTTGTTTACATTCCTCCATCGGCAGTAGCGGCGCACGCCTGTGACGTCATCCACTCCACCGTTGCAGACCTGCAGACACGTCATCCCAGGGAAGCTGAAAGCCATCATGGACAACCCCTGTCATCCTCTCCACGCTGAGCTGAGGAGCATCTTCAGCTACAGACTGACCCAGCCCCGTACCTCAAAGCAGTTTGGAGGCTCATTTTTACCATCAGCCATCAGACTCCACAACGCCACAGCACCCAGTAACTCCAACCCCAGCAGACAAAGACTGGCTTAGACTGCACTATTTATATTTAATTTCCACTTTAGTAGTTTTAGTTTAGTTTTAGTTTTAGTCAAGTTTAATATTCTGCTTATATTTTGGACTCCATGTCCTACTTGAACAACAAATAGTGTATATACTTTAATTTATAGTTTTTATATCTTCTAATATTAATAATATTAGCAATATTTTTCTGTGATATTCTTTGTTTTCTGTTTTTGCGCTGCTTTTCCTTATTGCTGCTGTGTCAACCTGAATTTATCCTTAGGGGGATAAATAATAAAGGAATTATCTATCTATGGATCAGATGTGAAAGGTGTTTGCATGTTAGGATAAATCCAGAGAGGATTATCAGTTCTACACAGCTGTAACATCTGTAAGCTCATTGCTTTGGTTTTGCAGCATATTTACTCACTGCCCTTGATTTACTGTTTATATTTGTCTTATTATTAGTTTATTGCCAGTCATCTTTCAAAGACTTTCAGTTTCACTAACCTGTATGAACAGTTTGTTGGTTTGTTTGATTGATCAGCATTGTGTCCAGCAGCAGCAGGCAGAGGTTTTCAGTGAAAAAGCTCTTAAAACCCACTGTAAAGCACCAACAGCACACACAGTCAGAGACCAGCTGACGAGCCCGATATATTTCTCAGGGTTTGGTGACCAAAAACAGCTAAAACGGAGAGAGAACATTGGCCTTCTATTCAATTTAATTCAATTTTATTTGTATAGCGCCAATTCACTCTACAAATAGAGCAGGTCTAGACCGAACTCCTGGTAGCCCCTGGTCCAAACAGGGCCAATATGTATTGTCATAACATTAATAAAAACATCTTTCTATTAAATGACCCTATTTGGACACATATCTTATCATTGATTATTTCTGTTAATATCTCTTTAAAGTATGTTATATTGGATCTGTTTAGCACATGGAACATTGCCAACACACCTACATGATTTAACCATATGTGGCTGCAGCGGGAATAAATAGGACTGAATTGAATTGAGTCATGTTGGTGATGCATTTTATTTTTCTTTCATTTATTACCTGGCTGCTTTGTGGCCAGTAGCCAACACTAATGCATTAGGTGGGAGATCATTAAAGAGACTATTACCTCGCTGTTTCTTCGGCAGACAGTGGATGAGAATCACATTTTCTATTATGAATGGAGCCAACGACCAATCTGGGGTGAATTTCTGCTTCATAATATATTTCTCTCCCTCTCCCCTACTCTGCCGTTAGCTCTCTCTGCCTCTCTCACTCTTTATCTCCTCAGTTTCGTGCCTACTGGATATCCCATCTATTTCCCAGGCCCTGATTTTAATTTCCTGTCCGCTGTCAGTTATAGACCGTCTCCACGGCAGAGAGCAGGAGAACACAGAGAATAAGAAAGAGGAGACCCACAGCAGTAACTACCCGCTTGATGTTTCCCTGGGACCCGTCCAGCTCTGTTCTAACCTCGCAGGGGACATTGTTAGAGAGAAATAGAAAAAGAGGCCGGAACCATATTTTTCATTTACATTGTCTGCAGAAGAATAAAATATTGATTATGATTGACCCTTGCTGTCCCGCCCCATTTTGCTCTGTGCTCCAATAACAGTTGAACAAGCCTCAGTCAGAACCTCGGGCAACTTCCTTCTTTCCTGTACTTAGATATGCTATGTGCTAAAAGACAACATTTTGAAGATGGTTAAAAGATAAAAGCAACATAAAGGCCTATATAATCACATCAATCATTAGTTAGCTAGCTAGCTAATTACACATTGATGTAAATTAGCTGGCTGGTTAGCAAGTGTTATGCTTTGTAGCAAAATGCTAACTATCTAGCTCACAATTTATGTAGATTAGTTGGCTACTTAGTTAGCATTTTGCTAGTGTAATGGGTTGGAAAACACCATATGTTCAGTTTTTGTTTAAACACACACCCCTCTATTCTTTGTAATAACTGATTCATTCTAACACTTAAGGTAGTACACTACTACGCCAGCAGGTGGTGCTCTAGTGCTGCTGTGGATCCATTAGGGAGACTGTAGCTACAAGCTCTGCACATACGCAGCTCAGAAATAAACAAACTCTGGCATGAGCAAGACGCTAACTTGCGAGATCAGACCAGATTACATGTGAAAAAAGTTTAATGAAATTACAGTTAAATTGTCAAAGATTACTTGATTACATTTTTGAAAATATTATTGTGAAATTTATTTGGCTGTTTGCATATTTAGTAGCCTATGAGGAGCAAACTTTTCAATGGTAATTTTGAAATAATCCAAAAGCATTCAGATTAGATTACACTTTTTGTAATAACATTTATTATGTTAGGTTACAAATGTATTCAGTAACAGACTACATTTTAAATTAATCTCACCCAACACTGAAGACACCCATGTTTGTTGGTTTACATGCTGGCTTGAGGCATGAGGCATAATTCCAACATCTCTCTACGTCCATGATTGCTATAAAGGCCACATTGTTGCACATCACAAACAACTCTGTCTTCTAAGAAATGTGTTTATATGTTACTAATTTGCAAGAGCAAATATATTTGAATGAAAGAAAAACACTGCCAACCAAATTGCATCCTATATTAACATAGTGAATAAATATCTTTAATTAACCTACCTGCAGAGTTGCAAAATGTTCACTGACAACATATTTTATGAGTTTTCCAACAATATTATTTGTCAGCAACTAAAGCATGATTAATGGGTTATATTTATGCAATTCAGAGTAAAGCACTTAATTTAGTTTGTTTTTTTAAGTAAGGGAAATGTTAGTGGTTTTGTGTAAAAACACGTTGTGGTTTTACAGGGGGTTATGTGATTACCAGTCTCCACTGGTTGCCAAGCAATGACAACAAGACGGAAGACAGGAAGTTACTGCTGGTGGTTTTTGTACAGCTTAGACCAACAAGGTATAATATGTTAATTGATGAGTTTTAGAGGTGCTGGGTGGAGGATTTTGTTACCTTCCAACCAAATCACAGAGATCATATTTTCTGATTTACCTCTAGTGTCTGTCTATATTGTTCATAGGCCTCCACTCCAATGCAGTGGCATTACGTTTCTGGGGCTTAAACGAATAATTCAACAAGTCTTGTACCACTATGCTGACACACACACACACACACACACACACACACACACACACACACACACACACACACACACACAAACGCCACTGTCACTCAACAAGGGACTATTTGTTCAGTAGAAAGGAGTTGCAATGAACACTGTTGACAGTGTTCTGTGGATTATTCAGAGTAATTAGTACACCATCACTGGGTGGAAAAGGAATTTTTAAATATAATTTTAGAGCTGTTAATACAACAAACTAAACTGAATCTACCTCAATTGCATTAGGGTAAAGCAGACATCTCAACAACCTGAACACATAAAACCCAACTGTCTGCATGGCTAGATACTGCTAGAGGTACATTAACTGTCTGCAAGGAAACACCTCCAGTCTCTATAGCAATATTAGAAATACTACTGTTCCTTAAACTAAGTGCTTTCTGTTACAGACAAGCCAAGTCCCTCCTCTGTAGTAATATTACAGGACTATCACAGTACCATGCTAAATTTGGTTGACACTCAAAGCTACACCATCAGCCCCTACAGTAATATAATGGGGACTTTTCATTAATTTGCAGAATGCTGTAATAACTCTTATCTGCTGATCTGTACTGATAATGTGAGTGTCAACATACTGGAACTACCAGAGAATGTCTAGTTAGATCTGGTGTTGTCAAATCATAACTACATCTTGGCCTCCCAGTCGTTCATAGGAATGTAAATGATGGAAGCGCAATACTACTAGGGTTCAGTGCGCTAAATACCACATCATGAAAGGTTCTACGGTGGCCATGAAAGAAACGCCTAAGGCCCTATCTAGAGCCAGTGTTTGGTTTGTTTATTCTGTGATACTGTAGAAACATGGTGGTTCAACATGGTGGACTCTGTAGGAGAGGACCCACTCCCTCTGTAGATAAAAAACAGCTCATTCTAAGGTAATGAAAACACAGACAGATACACACTGGATCTTTAAACTTTTTCCAATTCCTCAGACTACAGTTTCTGGGGAGCAAGGAACATTTACGCAATGTGATGTTGTACATATCACGCATATGTGGTGTAACCCAAATTAATTTATAAAACAGAAATAGTTGCAGAACATTTTAGATTTTTATTTATAAAGTATATGCAACCCTCACTTTGCTCATCTATGATTACTAATTAGACTCTCTAAATATTAATAAGACTACTTTGGTGCTTTGGCTCTCTATGTTTGTGCTCATGCCCACAGCAAAAAGACAGCAGCCAGAGTTCTTACATTAACATGTTACCCCAGCAGTGACTGTGACGAGTTTCATGCCAGCATGTTGTTCTATCGAGGGCACTGCCAAGTGGCTGCAGCAGCCAGGTGTTTCTGACCTGACGCAGAGATATTCTTTTCTTTCTGTGATGAAGGAGAATGTCTTCACTTTTCCAAACCCCCACTAATTTTCTTTTCTTTTCAATGTAGCGTCTCTCAATCAGCAGCACTCATCTGTCTCCTCCTGCTTACAGCAACTGTTACTAGGCAACACTTCACTTCCTCATCAGCATATTCAGACAAATATTTAAAATCTATATTCAATGAGTACGCTATACCTTTCAAAAGCATTATACAATAATTCTGTTGTGAAGTGATGACCAGAATGTTAACATTGACAGATTACACTACTTTGGAAAGGCATATTCTCAGTGGGTCTTTGACTTTGCCAGGGTTGTGCCTTGTCACCGTTTCTGTTCTGTTTTTCGTTTCTTCATGGACAGAATGCTTAGTACAACCAGGGCTTGGAGGTTGTCTGGTCGGGTCAGTGACCACAGGATTGCATCTATGCTTTTTGCGGATGATGTAACTCTGCTGGCTTCATCAGACCATGACTCTGAGTGTGAAGCAGCTGGGATGAAAGTCAGAACCTCCAACTCTGAGGACATGGTACTCTGCTGGACAATAGTGGATCGCTCACTCAAGGTTTGGGTAGGTTGCTGCGCCAAGCAAAGGAGTTCAAGTATCTCAGGATCTTGTTCAGGAATGAGGGTAGAGATGGTACGTGAGGTCAGCAGGTAGATTGGTCAGGGTTGGCAGTAATATGGACATTGTACAAGACTGTCATAATGAAGAGAGAGCTGAGCCTGATGGCAGATCTATGGATTTACCAGTTGATCTCAATGTTCAGGGTAGATTTATTTATCACTTTACAACACAGGGTAGTGTAACAAGATTAAGTTGTAGTTCCCGTTATGCTAATCACAAAAAGAAATATATTTTAACTACATTTTAACTTTTAATTAAAAGAATGAGACTGGATGCAAGCAGACAAAATGAGGGTGACAAGCTTAGAGATCAGGAGGGGTATGCAAATACAGGTGAGTGACCATCCCCTGCCGAGGCGAAAAGTGGGCATGTAACGCACATGGAAATCAGCTTACTGGTTTGTAGTCCGTTTTGTGTGGGTCAACCACACACAAACATTTGAGGCTGCGACATCACCGTTCAAAGTTCATCAGTGTTGAACTCCAGGTGAGGCAAAGATGTGAATTTGCTTTGCCGAGTTTATGTTTTATCCGCCAGTATGCTTGCATGGAATGGAAGTGAACAGGAGGCGAATATTTGCCATGACATACATTCACCATGTTGATTTTGCGTATGTGTGACTGTGCCCTACGACCACTGCTCCTTCACATTAAAAGTTGTTAGTTGAAGGTGGTTTGGGATCTGATTAGGATGTTCTGACCCAGAACTGCTGGATGGATTACTTATCCCGTCTGGCCTGGGAACATTTTGAGGTCCTATTGGAAAAGCCGTACAACCTTGCTCAGCCTGCTGCCACTGCCACCAGGACCCAGATTGGTGAAAATGATAGACGGATAGATGAATAGATTTTATGATCATATATTATGAATTGCATAAAAACTGAAATCAATTTTAATGCTAAGATAAAGAAAGCTTTGATGTAATAACACATTTATTTCCTCTTCAGATGTTTTAAATTAGCTTTTGCAAAATCAATACACCTGGAATGGAGACTGCAGAAGACTAAATGCTTGGTCCTGGCATTTTTGTGGTGTGTGTGTGTGTGTGTGTGTGTGTGTGTGTGTGTGTGTGTGTGTGTGTTTTTCAGCATAGTTGTATAAGATATTTTTCTAAGTTGAGCACTAATATAGAGGAGACAATACCTTGGTAATCTCCAGCACAATCAGGCAGTCCGTGCTGAATGCTGAATGGCATAATCGCCGGAAGATGACTTTGATTTCACGGCCCATTGAGTGCAGAATGTGCACATGGCGCTGTTTGGACAGCCGGCACAGCTCAGCGGGCGACCATGCTCGGCTCTGCTTTCTGCCACATGGCGAAGCACCAGGGTACAATTAGAGGGAACACATTCACATCCAGCCTGTGATCCTCCGCTTTTCTTTCTGAGGCAGGATACGGGCAGAATCATCCTACATCACCTGTGTAAGTGTTTTAATATGTGAATGAGCACCTGTAGGTTGGCAAACATTTTCTGTGCC